TCGTCTGACATACTTTGGGCATGTTGCAAGGAGGGACTGGTCCTTGGAGAGGGACATCATATTTGGGAGAGTGGAAGGACGGTGCAGGAGAGGAAGACCCTCGATGAGATGAATTGATTCTGTGAGTGGAGTGGTGGGAATGAGTGTGTTTGAGACGACAAGGTTGCCACAGGATAGAACGGCGTCTAGGGTTCTTGTACATAGGGTCACTATGAGTCACAAGCAACTTGATGGCACATAACAACAACAACAATTATAAAATTATAAAAAGAAAAACAAAGAAAATTGAGCAAAAGCTGGACATAGAAACTTTTAGAAGAATACAAATTAATGGTCAAATTATGGTAAGATTCCGTAATATTAGTAATTTAAAATATTTAAATGGAAGTTTCCATTTTATATTTTCTCTACACATTTATTTTTCCAACAAATTCAATGGATATATTAGTTGATGTAATTTACCAAAGGACATTTTTACAAGAATGAAAATTTTTCTTTTACCATGAAAGAATATTTTACAAAAGATTAGTTATTGCATTGAAACAGATGAGGGAAAAAACTGTTTAAAAGGGATGTATGATTAGGTATTATTGTCATGACAAGAGTCCAGAACAAAGGCTACATATTGGAGTGGACTTGGGGGGAGGGATTATAAAACAAAGAAAGAATTTTTTTTTTTACTTTTCATATAGAAGAGCGAACTAGGGGGGAAGGGTGGACAGGGAGAAAAGTGCAACAATGAATGAGTGGAAATCCAATGTCTCTGTAAGCTTTCATTAAAATTAATAATAATTAAAAAAAGGTAGGGTAAAAAAAAAAAAACCAGGTTAGTTTCATTGGGAAAAATCTGCTGTCAAGGACCTCTCCAGAGTGCTAAAGAACAATGAAGTTAATCTAGAGAATAAGGTACACCTAATCCAGGTCATGGTCTTCTCAATTGCTTGCTTTGCATCCGACAGCTGGATAATTAATAAGGATGATAGAAGAAGAATAGATGCCTCTGAGTTGTGATATTGGAGAAGACTATTGGACATATCATAGAGTGGCCAGAAAACAAACAAGTCTGTCCTACAGGAGCTGAAACCAAGTTGCTCCTTGGAGGAAAGGATTTTGAATTTCTGGTTCACAAACTTTAGGTATATTTTCAGAAGGGCCTAGTCCTTAGAGAAGGACATCATGCTTGGAGGTGTGGGAGGGGTAGCACAGGACGGAAAGATCTTGAATAAGATGGATTGACACAGTGACTGTGGCAAAGGAAATTAGATGTGTCAAAGATGGTGAGCTTAGCTCAGGATAGGGCAAGCTTATTTCAGAGCTATTGTCCACAGGGTTGCTATAAGTCATAGTCAACTCAATGGCATAAGAACAACAACTGAAGAAAAATTTAAGAATATTTAACAAAAACAGCTAATGTGTCAAACTTAAAGTGTGATAGTCCCATATTTATTAACTTAAACTTCAAATGAACTACAAAGAATGCACAGAGATATTCTTAAAGAACATTTATTGTAGCATCATTTTTATAGTATAAAATCTTTGGAAGCCATCTTAACATCTATCAGTGCCAGAAAGTATTAAAATATATTAT